TCCCTGAGAACCATTCTTTCTCTATTATTTTTGTTGTCATTCTCTGGCCACATGTTCTTGTTCTGCCTGTTTTATAAAATTTGGGAAGATTTTTGTCCTCATTTGGGTGGGCTAATACCTGGGGCTGGCTGTGTAAGTCAATATTTACTCAGGTAAGAGCTGTCAAATATGTTGTCCATGCTCACACAAAAAAACTGTGATTGTAAAAACATCTCTTTGGAATGAGATTGATTCAGAAAGCCCCAGGAATTTGCTAGATGCCCTTCAGGTTTGTTGCACCTAATAAGGTTTTAGGAAATACAATTAAATGTACATTATTACAGATCTCACAAAAGTCAGGGTTAATGTCAAAATTTGTTGTGATCTATCTATCCATTAAGCCTGTGCTAGGAAATTGGGATTTTTGGAAATGAACTTAAACCCAGTATGGTCTCTGTCTTCCTGGAACTTAAGAGTCTAGTTTGGGAAGATAGACATGGTTTGAACAACCACCCAAACTAGTATAAAATTGCAACTATGCAGTGCAATGAGAACCTTAATAGGGGATTTGACAAGGAGCTCAAGAAAGGCTTCCTGAAGGAAATAACACAGTTGAGATCTAAACACCAAGTAGGAATTCAAGCAAAATGAGGAGGGGAAGGTTATCAGGCTGAGAAGACAACTGCATGAAGACCCCTGTGGGCAAGAGTATGGCAAATATAAGAGCCTGGGAGAAGGCAAGGGTGCTGGGATTGAGGTGGCAAAGGAGAGCAAGATAAAAGGGGAGGCTGGAAAAACTTTTTCAGGTAAGATCATGAAGGGACTTGGCTTTGTAGAGAACTTTATCTTTGTTCTTATACAAATTGAAAACACTTAAGGGTTTTTTATACTTCCTATATTGCAGTACCTAAGGGCATGCCTTGGTCCAGTGCAGAGGTAGTGGGAAAAGGAGGATGGAATAAATTCAAGAGATATTTAGAAGGTAAAGGCAAAAGAATTTGGAGTTGGATAGCATATGGGGAGTGAGGGAGGAAGAGTCACTGCTAGTTTTCTGACTTCACACATTGGTATGTAATGGTTCCATTGAGACAGGTGGCAGCACAGGAGAGCAGGCATGATGGAGGGAGATTATGAGCTGGGCCTCAGGCATGCTGAGTTTGAGATACCTTTGTGACATCCAGAGGATATGTAAGAAGCTAGATGTATGAATCTAGGTCTTAGAGGTACATCTGAAGATGTAATTGTAAGCCTTCTAGGTAGAGATGATTGGAGCCATCGGTGTAGATGAAATCATCTAGGGAGGCTCTTTTTGACTAAATATGAAATGACAGTGGTGATAATTTTCTTCTTTCAACATATGAAGAGATAGCTACTGATTTATTTGTGTCTAAATTGTCTTGAAATGATTCGAAACAGAATTCCAATCTTTTCAAGTGATCATTCACATTTATTTACCTAGCAATAGGTACCTGAAAATGTCAGAAATTTCAAGAGCCCAGTAAAAGTAAGGTTACAGGAGAGGATAGACTTGCTATGTTACCAAGTTGAGAAGGGAGTAAAAAAATCAAACCTAATCCCTCTTTATTTGACTGGGCCAAAGCCATGGCATGAATCAAATCAGCCCCACAAAACATTATACTGCTTTGAATTGGGTTAAAGTAAAAAAATTTTTTTTTCATTGTTAGGAAATTTTTCAAATCATACAGAAAAAAGCTACAATCAAACAGAACTCTCTGGGTTGTCTTATTTCCCTGTTAGGAACAAAATCTACTTTTGTGCATTGTTCACATTTATTAGTAGTGAATTCAAATACTAGTTGCTTATGCTACCATGTAGTATATTAGATTAAAGTTCAGTAGAAAGTATTTGACCTGGAAGTTTCACCCTGGATGAGTTTCTCCTGGATGGAGATTTGCTCTTGGGAAGCATTCCTCGAATGCAGAATAAACAGGGCAGTGATTAGTAGGTTCTCAGCATGTGCGTGTTTGAAAAGATTATATATTTCTTATGAATTACTAAGCATAAATTGCAAAGTACAGAATATTTAAATGTAAAAATCAATATTATAAAAATTCTTTAGTTACTGTGCAGTACAAATCACAAAATCTATTGACAAAAAATATAATTGTAGATTAGTCCTTAACATCACAGTAGCTATGATATTGAACAAAATATTGTGTGTTACTTTAACCCTTAGATTGTCTTCCGGCCCTGATTTTAGTTGACTCAGTGATTTAGCTGACTCTCAACAGAAAGCCCTGCTCATACCTGTATACTGGAGCAAGCTCTTCAGAATGCCAATGGGAAGTGTTTCTGCTAAACTCCAGTTTTTATGCGGTAAAAATTCTAATAAAGAAATTGTTCACAAGAAGTTTAAAAGATAAGAAGGAGGGAAAACAAGGGCTTAGCTAATTCATAAACTAGAGTACTCACTTCTAAAATCTGAAATTTGGCATTCAAGTGGCTAAATGACAGACCTTGGCTTGTGCCCTTTTTTCCTGTGGCTTGTTAGGTTGTTCCAGGAACTGGAATGTGATACTTTCCCTCAGTTAAGGACTCTACACCTTTCAGTAGAGGAAGGCACTAATGTCGTGGGATTGGCTGCCAGGCATGCTGAGAAGTAGCCTCCAGTGGTGTCTGTAAGCACGGGTTTCGCTCGATGCATAGCTTGGATTTATTACTGATCAGCTCTTGAGTTCTCCACGTGGAGTAGACATTTCCCTACTTGAGAAAGGCTTTGCTCCTGACATTGTTGGATCAGGTCTCACTAGATCATCTGTGTGTGCTCTGCCTGTCTGCTGATCTGTGTGCAGCCGCTCACTTTGCCACCAGACAGACTGTGGACTCAGGTGATAAGAAAAACAAACATCTGCCTAAACTGAATCTTGATCCCGGCAATTCAAAGCTGCACAAAATTGAGCAAGTACCTTAACCTGTCTATAACACATTTTTCCCACTTAAATAATAGGGGTATTCATAGAACTCATCTCACAGCATAGTTTTGAGGATTAAAAATGACTAAATGCATGTAAAGTACGCAGAACAATAGTGTTTGGTGTTGTTGCTGTTATTATTATTTAGTTCATGCTAAATTTGGAGCCCTAATCAGCATTTATTCATAGTCATCATGAAGTGTCCTTTTGCACTATATGTTAGTAAGCATGGAATTCCAATGATGCAATGCATTCTGCTTGGAAAGAAAAATCCTGTAATTGGCCTCTTTCCAAATCTTTCTTTAGTGTGATCCCTGAAGCTCCTCTCTCTTCCTTCCTTCCTCCCACACTTGGTCTTACCCTGAATACCCCATTCCCGTCCCTTCTGTCTTGAACTCTTCCAGGCTCTACCTCCTCCACTGTGTGCTAGACCAATTACAGAAGTAATGATTTTTAGAGGGCAGTGTGTGGTATGTGTGAATGTGTATGTGTAATATAAAAACAAAGCTGTTTTATGCAAACATTAAGGCAGTTATGTCTTACACGGTGTCATTGTTGTAGCTTTTATAATTAGTGGAACCCTTGGAAGGAATGTTGTGACCATCAGCCAGGATGCCAAATTTCAGAGAGTGGGAAGGTGCAGTACTGCCTCCAGGATCCAACCTAACACAGTCTGAAATTATCATTCCCTTCCAACTACATCCTTTTTATCATAATTATTATGCTTTTGCATTGATGTCTGAAGTGCTCATCCTGTAATAATTATTTTATAAGAAAGGAGCCTATGAATGAAGTAGAGGTGTTTCTTTTCCTTAAAATGTTTTTATTTTTTCTTTCAAAAGTAGTTCTAACTCCAGGTAAATAAATATGTTTAATGTAAACATATAAAATATGAAGCTTCTCTTCTTGTGTCCTCACTTTAAGTCAAATAACTTTCTGTTGACTAAGTCAAGTGCAATTATTGTGTTCTTCTGTTTGGACATAATTCAGTGTGAGACTTGGTCTGTTCTTTCTCATTGTGAATTTTGTGTTTGAGGAGCTTTCTGCAGACAGTTCACTATAGACTGCAGGATGTGACTGTTGGTTTCATTTCAGTGATTTTGAAAAAGCTGTGTTTAGAAGTCAGGTGCAAGGTGGATATTTAAATTTTTGTAGAGAAGTATGTAGCCTTAGCAGTGGATCTAAGATTTGCTCTGCTCAGCCCTCTGCTTTGAAGACATGTTTCTCCATTTCATCACAGAATTTCTGAGAGAAAGGGAAATCTTTCTGTCTTCAGTTGTGCTGCTTGTTACTTCAAGAGAAGACTTTCTGAAATGGCAGCTTTGGAAATATCCCCTGGATCGATTGCATAGGGGGTTGCCAAGGACTGAAAAGGTCTAGTTCTAAATGGATTAAAACAAGACACATTACTTTGTATATACCCTCAGGCATAATTAATTTACTTCAAATATTCATCACATTATATAAAATATGTCATTTTTTTGTCTTCTCTAGACAGGAACATCCCCTCTATCCTGAAGTGTAATAAGAATGTGGCCACTTGTAATGTGTGTTATTATGATTCCAGTCTTATTATTCTAGCTTCATTTTAAAAATTTTAATAAGTAGGGGTGTCTGGATGGCTCAGTTCGTTAAGTGTCTGCCTTAGGCTCAGGTCATGATCCCAGGGTCCTGGGATCAAGCCCTGAGTTGGGCTCCCTGCTCAGTGGGGAGTCTGCTTCTTCCTCTTCTCCTCCCTCTGCTTGTGCTCTATTTCTCTCTCTCTCTCTCACATGCTCTCTCTCAAATAAATAAATAAATAAATTTTCAAAAAAGTTTTAATGAGTTGAAGAGTAACTTCACCAACCATGTAGTATCTTTCTACTCAAGAGCACTACCTAAGAGAAGAGGTGATATTGAATTACTGCTTCTGGATGCTCTTTGTGTTGGTTCCCTGTTGGAACATCAGGTTTTAGACCCAGGACTAAAGAACAGAGGGGACTTGGAATACGTCAGAGCTGAATTTCAGCTGAAGCTATTGTTAATTCCTCAAACATTTTATTTTGCTCACCAGCACAAGAAATAACCAACTCGTTTTGTGCCTTCCAGGTATATTCATTTCAACCAAATAGAAATGCTACAGCCAGAGACATTTGGAGACCTTCTGAAATTAGAGCGACTGTAAGTATTGACTCTCTAGATGTCCTTTGCTTCTGCTTTACTTCTTCTGTTTATACAATGTATTGACTGCTCTGGAGATCAGGTGTAAGCCTAAGAAGCAAAGTCTGCACCTTTGTACTATAAGATAGAGTTACGGTAAGCCATTTTATAGTTTGAAATCAATGGAGAAAAGATGAGTAACCCAATTAAAAACAGGACAAAAGCAATGAGCATTTCAAGGAGGTAAAACCACTTTGCAAACTTATGGCAGAATCTACCACAATTAACCATACACATCCCCTATGACCTATCCATCAGTTCCACTTCTAGTTATAGACACAACAGACGTGCACATGTATGCATGTGCACCAGAGTGTGTTCTGGGGTGTTTAAGGCAGCATCACTTCTAACAGCTCCATTGTAGAGCTACTCAAGCATCCAACAACAAAAGAAGAGAAATAAGTTGCTGCATATTCATAAAACAGAAGACTATACAGCACATACGAATCTCAGAAACATTTTGAGCAAAAAAAATCCAAACATTGAAAATTGCATAGTTTGATTTTGTTTTTTGAATTCAGAAACAGTAGTAACGTGTAATAGCTAGAAATTAGACAGTGGTTACTTTTGGAGAGAAGGAGGTGATAGGGAACAGCAGGAGGGAGCTTCTGCAGTCCTGGCAGTTTTGTCTTTTTCTGTTTTCCCAGCTGCATTCACTTTCAGGAAAGTCATCATGCTTACAGCATGATGTGTGTACTTTTCTAGATGAATGTTATATTAATAAGCTTCATTTTAAAAATTTTAATAAGTAGGGGTGTCTGGATGGCTCAGTTGGTTAACATAACAATGACAAACCAGAAGGACACTTTGACAGCTGTTGTCTTTTATCAGATGAAAATACTTTATCTCTTCATTTCCTCGATTACCTTATATTAACAAATTAACTGTGATTTTAGCAGAAGATGCAGGGTTTTTTTTATGAAGAGAAAGAAAGTGCAGAATGATACATCATTCTAAACTTAATCAGGAATCAGTTTGAATTAAAATATATCTGAAAAGAAATTGTAATTAGGAGTCTGTAAGTTTTGAAAACGATGCCCTTTCATACTGATACATGAAATAGGCCAGTAAAATTAAAAGATAAAAAGAGCTAATCAACCACTTTCCCATGCCATCACTCCAAACTTATCTGCATATAGAAGTATGGGCATTGTAATGAATAAAATTGCATTGTTTAGATTTGTGTGCTTCCTTTGCTGAAGGCATGTAATGGAGGAGGGAACTATACCCATTTCCTGCTCCACCAGCCTTGAGCAGTGAGTTCCACCTTTGGCAAATTCAAGGCTTAGCATCACGATGACTAATAAGTTCAAAGAACTTAAGCCACTGACTTTAATGTTGGGGAAAGTTTTGCTGATGAATAAGCATTGCTTTCCTCCATTGAAAACTGGGAAGGGGAGATTCCTGCTCCCCAAAGGAGAGTCCTAATGGCAGTGATGGCATCTCCTACCTTTTGGAGGGGGCTGTTATCTTAGGATCCATGAAGGAGTAGGGAACTGACCAAGAAAAAAGGCTTTAACTTCTCGTTTCCTCCCTATTATGTAAATAAAAACTATATATACATATTTCTTGAAAGATCTCTGAATATATTAATCACAACATGTTTTTGTTATGTTTCTCTTTTTTTAGTTCTTTGAATTCTCCTGCTTCTTCTGGAGTTGGTTTTTCTTTGTTTTGTCTTGTTCTTTCTTTGCCATGGTCCTGATTGATCTCCTGTGCCTTGTGATCTTTGGTATTTATACTTGAAAATATTGGGCTGGGGGTCTAAGTGGCTCCTGTTCCCTTGTAGGTAGGTCTGTTTTCTTCCAAAATTTCCCATTAGAGGGAAGTTTAGTTTGGACAGTTGGGTGGGAAAATGGCAGATTTCTCCATCTAAAATATTAGAATGTGAAAGGAAAGGCTTCCTCTTAGTTGCTGCTCCACACAAAATCTGTTACTTTTCTTTGTCAATTTTTAAATTTTCTTTAGAGAAAAACCTGTAAAAATAATAAGAAATATATATATGTAATTTTTTTTCCTCTTAGCATTTAGCAGCAGCTACAAATTAATTACATTTCTCCATCCACATGTTCAGTAAACCCCATTTCTCATCCTGTCCCTCTACTCAGTTTGGTGTCTTGGGTCCCAAACAATCAGATTGTTCCTGCTTCATATATTCTCTGGGCTTCTGCTTTTTCTGTTTCGTCTTCCAACCCTCTTCCATACATTTTGTATGTTTCCAGAGTTCATTGAAATCTCTTATCTGTTGATGACCTTATGCATTCTGTCCTCTTGATTGTTATGGGTATATTTATTGTATTGACCATCTGGGTTATGTCAGTTGACTTCTGAAAGAGAATGAGGCAAATTTGCATGCCTCGTTCACTATTTTGAGTCAGAATTCTTCTCTCTATAACTTTGAAGTATGTTTGTTGAAATAATATTTTAGATATTAAAATTAAACTATTTTAATTAAGGTATTTCTCAATCTATACGAATTCAGCATGATTTTGTCTGTAACTACACATCCTCAAGTGATGTGCATTCAGCAGTAGCAGCAACAGTATCTAGAATAGTTCTTTACTTATAGGCTTTGATAAAGCCCCCATGTGTTGTATTCATAAATATCAACCCCTACCACTTGTGTGAAATGTTCTTTTCACTGGACGCATGATGTCAATACAAGCCAGTGAAGACCTGCATCTTCATCTTTCCTATGAAGAGAAGAATTAATTTGAAAATCCTGTCCCTTTACCAAACTTAGATTTTTCTCTGGTCGATAAGCCTTATTGCTAAACAATCAATCATAAACTATTTATTATTACATCACCAAGCAAAAGAATCTATACACTTTTGGTGAAACCACCTGGGTTAAAATGTTCAAGCTGAAAATTTAGAGCTTGATGCACAGGCAGAAAATTGCAGTAATGCCTGTTACAGTATACAAAATTCTGACTTTTTGTCTAATAATTTGTGGTTGGTATCGAAGAACTTGATAACTACGCCATTTCTCCCCAGTGCCACTTGCAAATTGCAAAGTGGTGAGACTATGGACATGCTTAATAAAGCTGGATCCCTGTATTTATTTTTTATATGCTGACTGACCTCAGCAAGCTATAGTTTGTATATTGCATAGTTTTTCTTTTAGAATCTTTAATGAATCTCTCTTTAAAAAATGGGAAAAATAGGGCACCTGGTTGGCTCAGTCTTTAAGCCTCTGCCTTCGGCTCAGGTCATGATCCCAGGGTCCTGGGATCGAGCCCCACATCGGGCTCCCTGCTCCACGGGAAGCCTGCTTCTCCCTCTCCCACTCCCCCCTGCTTGTGTTCCTTCTCTCGCTATGTCTCTCTCTGTCAGATAAATAAATAAAATCTTTAAAAAAAGGGAAAAATATACCAAGAAGAAGAAAACCTTGGTATTCTGTAGCCATAAAGAACATTCATGGTGACTAAGAACACATTTAGTTTTATTGTTTTGGGGAGAATACCAGCTTGAAACAACATCCCATGGAATGCTTTATGGAGCAGCAGGGACTGGCATTGAGTCAACCAGCCTGGAAATGTCTTCTTTATCAAGCATGCACCTCACTACAGCCAAGGTTCTTTCAAGAAGCTTTCTCAAAGTATAGGATCTGAATATGAGGTTTTCTCTTCCTAGAAGTCTCTTGGATTTCCAGTGGATATATCTTGAAATGCTAACCTAAATTTCAGGCAGAAGATAACGTTTTTCTCTCCTCAGAACATTAATGTTGAAAAAACTCATTCATGCCTTGGTTTGTTTGATAACTTGTATATTTCTGTCACAAGAAAGAGATCAGTCTTTGTATCATTTCAGTGCAATGGATACTGCTAATTTTCTTTTTAACCAAATATCTTTGACAGAAAACATTAGCAGCAAATAATTATTATATGAACTTTCCAATATAGGAAGAGGTGCTTTTTAGGTTTTGTTGGGAGTAAAGCAATCAAAGTGATACTTCTACAAGCAGAATTCAACAAATAGTCAGCATTTTGAAGATTAACTTCACAGAACTTGGAAAGAAGAAAGAGAAAAAAGGAAGCATAGGCACGCATTTTTGCACCCCTGCTGAAGAGGACCACAGAAATACTACTACTGTTTTAATGTTGTCACTGACATAGTAATCTAGGAGATAAATAATAATAACTATTATAATAATAAGCTCATTTTATGGACAAAAGAACTGAGGTTTAGACAGATTAATCTACTTGAAAACAAATAGAGAAATAACAAGTAGCAATAGTATCTGATTTGGGAACCCCAATAATATGTATGATATAAACTAATATTGAAATAACATTAATTTGGACATTTCGTCGCCATACAAGATGAAGGAAAATTTTTGACAATGATTTTTCAAGATTTACATACCTTGCTTCAAAATCTGTGGTGATGACAATGTTATGCTTTTTTCTTGATTTGTTTTGCCTGTTAAACAATTCTGGTCTACTTGGCTTGGAAAATAGATAACATCTTTCAATCTCTGGTTATTGGTGCAATTTCTAGGCTTTAAATATGTTAAGAGATGATCAGCAGCATTTTTACTGTTATCACCCTGGACTCTACTAGTTGTAAAATAGTGAAATAAGCTAGCAGTCCAGCAAAAAAAAACACATGAATAAGTTGTCCAAATTACGTGGCTTTCCCCGAGGTTCAGCTGCAATGAACTACAAGCTACTTCTCCATTATTAAATTCTATTCCAATATCTCCTGAGATATGGATATGGGTTAGGGCTTGTGGGGAATGAGAATTACTGTGTGACTTCTGTCTGTACACCCTTCTTAACCGAACTGTTCACTGTTTCTTCTCTAGTCATTGCTTCTGAGTTTGGTGGATTGGGTGGAGCTGGGGATAATGGGTATAAGGAACTAAAATAGTAAGGACCAGGAAAAAATTATATCTACTCAGATGTGCATCAAATTCCAAAGCCATAAAAATATTTTGACTCCTGCTGACACCCCACTACTTTAATCCCTAATAGATAAAATAGTTAAAATTAAGCTAAAAGCATACATTGCTAGGAAAACATGGTCAGATAATCTTATTTAATTTTGAGATGGGGCACTGGTCATGAATTAGGATTCAGAGGGAGGCTGGATGTAGCTAATTGTTAACATTTTCTACACATTATTTGATTATTTATGCTCATAATTAGGCTCAAAACCACAGTGTCTAGAAATAAATGGCATGGAGCTTTCCTCTGTGTTGCAGACTACTGTTATGTTGTCTCTTCATACATGTGCTCTTTGTTGAATACGCTTTCAGTGGTGCTAGTGAGCAGATGAGCCCTAGCTAGTTATTTGCTAGTCATAGTTTCTCTCGTCACAGTGGAAAAAAGTGGTATGGCCAGGGCAGCGCTCAGGGAATGCAAACCAGTGCACGACCGACCAGGTGGAAGGAGGGGTAGAGATACTGTGGCCTGGGCCTCCTCCATGAGCAACAGAACCTGGGGATGTGCATCTCTGTGATCTGCCTGGAGTGGGGAACGTGTGCATGGACTTGAAAGGGAACAGGCAAATGGTTGGCTGAGCCAGGGACCACAGCACCACCAAATGGAACTGTCTTTTAGCAAAACTGCTGCTGGCCAGTAAGTGAAAATAGACAAAGGGTTGCCATCCGCAGGATCCAGTTATTCATGGTTCTCTTGCAAGCTGCTGCAGTCATACATTATTGTGCCATTCTTTTTAATGAATACATTCTCTATTTTGATTTCCTATGTGTTTAAAGACTTATTTCTGTGATTTTTATTCTTAGCACTTGTAATCTCTAACTAAATAAAACCAAAAATTAAAAAAAAAACATGGATGAGAATACACATGCATGTAAATCTTTTAAGACTGTGCTTGCAAAAATGACACTCTGTTTTGTGTTTGTCTTCTCTCACACTGAAATACTTTTAGAAATGTATTTGGATTCACAATTCCAATTTTTTTTTTAAAGTCTCCCAAAGCATCATTACTGTGTTGTGATTCAAAGTTATCTTTTGTTTTTCAGGTTTTTGCATAACAACAAATTATCTAAAATCCCAGCTGGGAGCTTTTCTCATCTGGATTCATTAAAGAGACTGTAAGTGAAAGCAAGTGCACAGACACAAAAACCTTATGATTTCCCCCCAAATAAATAAATCCCAAGCAATGATTTGCCTTTGTCTCCTTTGGCCATGGAAGATCATTGCAATTCTAGTGTGTAAGGGAGAAAATGGTTTCGTTAACCGCAGAGTGATAAAGGACGCAGTCTACTGAGCGTTCATGTATTCTCTTAGAAGTGACATTCAAAAGGAATATTGAAGATAGAAGTTTCGTTGGTTCTCAGTAATTTCCTTGCTGGTCAAATCTAAAGACTCCCAAGGCTTCCTTTTCCTTTAACTTTTATTTAAAAAGAGATGTGAGAAGTTCTGAAGAAAGTCTAACTCCTCCGGCCAGGCTTCAGAAGTTTTCCCTAATTGCACGTATGGTTACTGGTAGAGTTCATTTCTTCCCACACCAAACAATTCAGAGCGAACCTCCCAATCTTGTTTGAGCCTCCAGCTGCCTCACTTTTCTCTCTGCCTGTGTGAATAACTCGCCTTTACCCTGATCTGTCCCTTCATCCCTATCTCTGGGTATACTTCTGCGTCGTTGATGGATTTGGGGTTGATGTTTTTTCCCTCCGTAAGTCCCAGTTATCAGGTAAAAGTCCAATGTCCAGCTTCCTAGAGCTAGTTGTAGGGCACGGAGGGAAAAAATTACAAAGGTGTGCATCTCTCAGCTGTCTTGGAGGTCACGTTGTTGCTGGTGTCTTTCTGGTGTGATGTGCTCAGGTCCAGGTCCATGGGCGAGGGAATGTTAAAATTAAGTAGATATCAGAACATGGGGGGAAATAAATGTGTGTGGAAGTAATGCTTGGAATCATTGTGTTTCAAGGATCATGAATAATCAGGAGGACCATTCATCCAGCCCCAGTCCATCTTGTCAAGTCATTTTCTACTTCCATTGCAGTTCTCACAGCAGGTGCTGCCTACCATCTTTTCTCCTCTGGCTGTGCTCTTTGTGCTTAGACCCACAACTGCTTGATGATTCTCTTTTTCTGTCAAAATTTCCTTACTTCTCAGAACTGGTTGCACCACAGCCATTTGGAGTAGTATGCGCATCGATTCTTGTTCGTTGTCATAAAAGACTTTATCTTTTAGAGCAGTTTTAGGTTCGCAGAAAGTACTGAGACTTCCCACATACCCTCTCTTCCTACACAGCCTCCCCCAAGATCATCCTCCACTGGAGTGGTACCTTTGTTAAAATTTATACCCCATAATCACTCAAAGTCCAATGTCCTGCTTCCCAGAGTTCACTCTTGGTATTGTACCTTGTATGAGTTTAGACGAATGTATAATAACATATATCATCACTATAATGTCATAACGGAATATTTTCTCTGGCTTAAAAGTCCTCTGTGTTCCACCTATTCATCCTCTCCTCCCCCTAAACTCTGGCACGAAGCATTTGACTGTCTCCATAGTTTTGTCTTCTCTCGAATGTCATATAGTTGGAATCATACAGTATGCAGCCTTTTCAGATTAGCTTCTTTCGTTTAGTCATAGGCATTTAAGATTCTTCCGTGTCTTTTCATGGAAATCACTAGCTAATTTCTTTTTCGTGTTGAATAATATTCTGTTGTCTAGATGTACCAGTGTCTTTATCTATTCACTACTGAAGAACATTTGTTGGCTTCCACATTTTGGCAATTATAAATGAAGCTGCTATAAACATCCGTGTGTAGGTTTTTGAGGGGACATAAGTTGCACTTCCTTTGGATAAATACAAAAGAGCATGATGCTGGATGGCACGCATAAAGTATGTTTAGTTTTATAAGAAATTGCCAGACTGTCTTTTGAAGTGGCTGTACCATTTTTTAGTCCCGCCAGCCGTGAATGACAACTCTCTTGCTCCACACCCTCATCAGCATTTAGTGTCCTCAGTGTCCTGGGTTTGGCCCTTCCAACACATATGTAGTGTTACCTCACTGTTGTTTTAACATTCTTGTTTTTAAGTCACATCTGGAAAATGAAAAATGCCAAGGCATTTTGTTACCAAGTCATAGGATGCTTTATTTTTGGTAGTGGGAAGAATATTTTTTTACTTGCTGTCTTTCTCTTTTGTTGGATTTATGACTTGTGGTTAGAGTCACTGTCTTTGTATATTTGCAATTATAATTCCCATTAAATGTTTCTTTTTCTACATACATTTCCATCTGGGTATCATTCTTGACTTCTAAGACTCTCCGAAAGTCTTGAAATGCTAAATCTCTTGTTTGTTTTTCTAATCCCTTTCTATTATTCTTTCTTGTTAAATTTTAGTAGCAGTTTTTTTGTTCTAACTTCTTAATTTAATGAAACAGCATTCACTCTATTGCTGGAACACACACAGAGAAATAAACACTAATAAAGAAGCAGAGGGAGACCCTACGTACAGTGATGTGCCAGTATGTATCTTTTATTCATGTGCTATATATATTTCAAATGTTTTAAGGCAAGTATAAGAATGTTGTTAGTATGTTGTGTTGATGAAACATCTGTTTTCATAGATGGTACACTGATCACTTATGGTCATGGTAAACTGACATACAGATGATTTGAGCAAACTCTTCCAGGGTTCATGAGATCTTGGTCAGTCTGAGATGGCGAGCACTGGTACCTAGTTATTCCAAATCCTCAAACCCATGCTTGTCCAAGCTGTAATTTACACATGAAAATCAGAATAAAGAAAGTGACTGAGGGCTAGTAAATAAACTACACGTACCATCCAATAAATTCTATCTTCCACATTGAAGTCTCTGAACAGATGGGGGAATGTTGCTTCAGGGCTAGCACCTGGGAGTCTGAGAAACCTGTGTGAATCACATTTGCCCTATCAACCCAGGAGCTGTGTGTGACACCTTATAGCAGTTTCCCCATCTGTACCATATCATTTCTAACTCATGACAACCACATTCCTTCCAAGAGTACTGGAAAAATTAATGAAATGCTTTTTAACAGTGTTTTGGGTCTGTAAGTGAAAGGGATTATGCAAGTACAAGTGATATATTACTCTATTTTCAAATAGAAAGATTTGAATTTGAATTTACCCCATGCTTTTCTTTCCCTTTCAAATTGCCCATTGAGCAGTGAACAGGCCCAAGGGAGTAATTATTTGGGTGTTGTGATTCTTGACTGAATACTATCAAAAGGCTGTTGTCTTTTATTTAGCACACTTGGTGTGACATTTGATTTAAGAGAACTTTCAAAATAGAGAACAGTAAAATGGCAATGATTTTAAGCATAGAGTACTACTAATAAGTATGGTCTAATACAAATTAAGACAACCCTCCTTTACTATTGATTTACTTGATAGCTTTTTATTTTTCAAAATTTATGGCTTTAAATTATAGGCAATGTATCAAAGAATGCTTTCCCAGTATGAATTTGGAAACACTCTATTTATGGACTCCCCAAATGGACTTTTGTACAAAAATACAGTTCTAGTACTATATATTTTTTTCAAATATAAAGGAGGTTTTTAAGTGGCAAGCAAAAAAAAATTCCATAGTTGTTTTATTCATGTTTTATATCCCGGCTATAGATGAATTTTTAAATTGAAGTCAATGGTCATAAAAAGAAGAAATTAAATCTTATGCTCAAGTGTTGCTAAAACACACAAGCATGAGGATACATATGGGAAAATATTGATCACTGATTAATGGAGGGTTGATATATAAGCAATGATGATGTCAAGGAAATGGAAAATTCCAAACTATTAGGGTCCCATGACTATGATGTTCCCAAGGAAGTTATGTTGATGTCCTGGCTTTTGTTCAGCTTGGAAATCTCATAGTGATACTAAAGCAAGAATTTACACCTTAATATTTAACAACAAAAAACTGCTTTTGATAAAATTACCAGACATTAATCTCAAAACATGATTAAACTAAAAAACATGAATCAGAATGAACTTTAATGTTGAAATATATCTGCTTTTTAGCAAAGCAGCTGATAGAGTAAATCAGTCAGTGATATGGAATAGCCAAGGACACTGAACCCAATACTTTGCTGAACAAGTGCTGGTCAACTGTTACGTCTTTTACATCACTCCAGACAAGGCTGAAAGTATTCTCCATTTCAGTTATGGCTTTTTTTTTCTCAGTTTCATGTGAAGTCTTGATGGAAGCATTAAGAAAATAAAATCCATACCATTCAGCAACTTTTTAATGAGTGTAAGATTTTTTTTTCCCTTAATTTAACAATTTAATGCTGCTAAATATAGCTACTCTTTTTAGAGTAATACAATTTAAGTACAATATAACTTAATCTTATGAACTAAGCATCTACAATATACTTCACAAAATTATCAGACGATAAATCTTTCTTAAATTTATTTAAAAATGTACAGTTTTCTGGAATTATTATAATCCAAATCTAGAGAACATGATTTTTTTTTTTTTACTTTTAGAAAAAACTGTTCTAGTAACTTGATATTAATATAGACTCCTAAGTTAAAACAGCTAGGATTTTTAATTTTATATGCCTATTGATTCTTTAAATTCCTTTGTTTGTTTCCCAAATGATTTTTAAGGACATTTCATACAATTATTAAAAAATTATGGCATTTTAAAATTCTGCTTAAAAATCACATTTGGCATTACTTATTACAATAAAATTTGAGCAACGTAACCCTTGTCACTATCATAAATATATCCATATAATCATTTCATCTCTGGAATTCCCTTGTGCAGGATGACACCTGATTACTGCTATAGACAGACTTGTGGATTTCATTTAGGTAATGCTGTCCTCTAACCCTTGGGATCGATGAAAGAGATAATTTATCATATCTGTGCCCTTTTGCTATACATCTTTTGGCAAGAATGGAGGTATACATCATAAATCTCTCCGGTTATCTATCAATTTTATTTCATGAGGAAAAAAAAGTGCTGGAAAGGATTAGGAAAATATAGTAAAACTTAGCAAAAGTGAAGAACTTGTAGGCCTAGATTAGGAAATATCACAAAAAAATATGACAGGCCTGCCCATCACGGTTTCTAAGAGACACTTCCAGATGTGGACCTTTGTAAATTGGTGTCATTTTCAGTGATAGCCAGGCCTTTTAGTACACACAAAAAAGAAAATTTTAAAAGTCCCTGTCTCTAACCTTTAGGGAAAATTGAAAACACAAAGGAACACATGCCTATCCATATTGGATGTCAAGGTGGTTTACAAGAGAAAAGAGCAAGTCATCTAGGGCAGCCGCACAAACTATACACAGCACACTTATAGGCCTCCTTTGGGTAAGAAAGCATCTACTCTTTTAAGTAACATCTATGAAAAAGTTTAGAAAAGCAACACCACCAAATATAAATTCTCTGTTCTTAACATGTAAAAGAACTATAACATTTCAACATGTATAGTTTTAATTCTTAGTCTTCTCTGAAACAAGTAAGTTTTCATTTTATCTTACAGTTATTTATTTAAATCAAATAGTATACTGCACATTAAGTAAAAACCACTTTTTGAGTCTCAAAGTGCTTTCCAAAAACATTTAATATGAAAATATATCTATTTCTGTTCAAGAAATGCAAACAGGTAAGCATGTGTTTTAATCTGTTAATTGGTAGCTAGAAATCCTAGAGCCAAAAATATGACTGAGAAGGTAAATTACAGAAAGTTAAATATTTTAATTCAGAAGATTCAAAAGAAATTAATAGTCACTTTCAACAGTTGTAATTCTTGCCTGCATGCCTAGGCGTCTGGATTCCAATGCTCTAGTTTGTGACTGTGATTTAATGTGGCTGGGGGAACTTATGCAAGGCTATGCCCGAAATGGCCAAACTCAGGCTGCTGCTACATGTGAATATCCCAGAAGGCTCCAGGGACGCTCCATCGCTTCGTTAACAGTAGAGGAATTCAACTGTGGTATGCAATTTTCTCTGTGCGTGTAAAATGGAAATGTCTTTTGTTTGCCCCCTTTTTATAAAAGTTTGTTATATGATGTTGCATTTGGAAGGAAATAATATCAGAAAATGTTATCAAGTTCTTTAGTTAAAAGTATGGTCAATTTCCTTTTCAGCATCTGCATTTTGATTTAAGGAAGTTTTTATCATTTTAAACAGAGCTGGGACAGTCCTTGGGGATCATTTAATCCAACTTTCAAATTTCAAAGGAGAAATATTAAAGAAAACTATTTTCAACAAGGTCACAGGACACTGTGACCAGCAGTAAAGTTTCCAGTTAAACCAGTGTTACTTAAGTGTTAATAATCAATAATTGAGGTTTTTCAACTTTAGATCAAATAATTATTAATATTCATAATAGTAATGCAAACTTTGGATTTGGTAAGCATAGTTCATATTCTGACAACTTCAATAATTCTCTCAGACTTTATTTGAAGATCCAAGTATAACTTCTTAGGAACTTTTTGGTTCTTGGGGCGCCTAGGTGGCTTAGTCTGTGCCTTCCGCTCCGGTCATGATCCCAGGGTCCTGGAATTGAGCCCCATGTCGAGTTCCCTGCTTAGTGGGGAGCCTGCTTTTCCCTCTCTCTCTGCTGCTCCTTCTGCTTGTGCTCTGTCTCTCTCTCTCTGTCAAATAAATGAATAAAATATTAAAAAAAAAGAAATTATTTGATGCTCACTTCAAGCTTTTAATATAAATAAAGGAATATCTACCTGTGTATCTATCTAATCTATTTTTTATATATAGCTTTAAATATGAATAAATGAATATACTTACATACATGTGCATGTGTGTGATAATTGGGCTCCTTGAAAATTTACTCAGGTGATAGCTTACAGCAGAAATTTGCTTTCTAGTGCCCTATTCATTGGAGGCCAATTTTTGAATTTCTCTAAGCAGGTCATTTGGAAAATTATATTAATATAATTTAATTCCATCCAGATGGAGAAGCAAAGTGACTTGGTCTTTATTTCCAAATAAATCTCAAATTTGTCCATACCTTCCATCTTTACTATCAACTTGGAGTTTATGTCATAGTCAAGTTTGCTGGGAATACAGAACATCTTAACTGCTGCCCCAGCTTTCATTTTCTTCCCTCTCCAATCTATTGTATTTAGGGAGATCTTTTAAAACACAAATCTGATTATATAATTCTTTCGCTCTCTTTTATAGCTTCCCATGCCTTCAAATGAAACACCAAATCCTTAACAAGGTCACACTTCCTATATGTTGTAACCCTTGGCTACTCTGTAACATTGATTCATTCTGCCCCTGCCTCTGCCCAGTGATGTTTAGCCATCATGATGTTCTTTCAGTTCCTAGAAGTTTTTAAGATTTTTTCCAACTCAAGGACTGGCTATATGCTATTTACTCTGCCTACAGTATTCTTCTTGCCTCTCCTCTTTTAAGGGCCCTCTTCTTAAATATTAATTACTTGGAAAGGTTTTATTTAATTTTGCTCTCTACTCACCTTCTCCCTACCACACACACGCTGAGTCAGGTCCCTTTTTATAATCTATCAAATCACCATTTACTTTTCTTAGCACTTATTACAACATTTTATTATACATTTTTGTGTTTGTTTACTTTCAGTTGTTTCAATGAAACTATAAGCCCATGAGTACAGAGACTTTGTTTTGATCACTGTTTTATCACTGTCTTAGCACTGTGCCTGACACACTGTAATGTTGAATTATTTTTTTAAAGTAAACATGTAAATGAATCAAACAATTTTTCTAAAAAGGGAAGGCCAAGATGTTGGTCATATGGACTTTTGATGAAGTGCTTAAGATTAATAGAGATCTATGCAACATTCTCCAGACATGTTAGATCTGGTTATTTATTAATGATTGAAAGTCTCAAATGATGCACTTATTAAAGAAAGAGTTTTATCATTCAGAAAGGTTTAAAAAATTAGGTTTGCTGTAGAAAGGCAAAATTCCCTTTTTTACATTGTTTCTCTATAATTTAAATTCAGTAAAATTATCTGGTTCATTAAATATCAATCACTCCACTTCCTTATTAAAATAATTTAAATGTTTCCATGTTTTACCACTAATTATTATTTGAGAATGGAAACATTCATTTATATAATAAGCAATTTTGCTCAACCAGGTTTGAGGTCTAGACATACAAATTCTTATAAATTTTATAAAGTGGGTAGTTAGATGGCTAATTGTCTAGAAGAATGCCTACAAAATTGCAAGCTCAACTGAAGTATTTGGCTTAAAATATTGACCCATAAAATCAAAATCCTTCCATAAATATGGCTGTAAAAGGCATAGGGAAATTTATTTAATTTACTTCATTGGAGATTCCTTTATGCAGTGAATCTTTCAAACTTCTAAAGTTTTGTTAAATATATGTCTAACATTGAAACTGGTATGTTACTGGGTAAATGCAATACAATTTGTAAAACTTTAATGTAGAAGGAAATTAAAATTATCTGTAGTCCTTTGTCAATAATATCTTAGAGTACTGTAATTTTGTATCTTTAAAAGTATACCAATAATTCTTCTGTTACAGAGAGTCCTCGAATTACCTTTGAGCCCCAAGATGTGGAAGTAACATCAGGGAATACTGTCTACTTTACTTGCCGGGCTGAAGGAAACCCCAAACCAAAGATTATTTGGATACATAACAAGTAAATACTGAGCATGGGCATGTGTTGTATTCTCTTTCAACTTTCATTAATCCATTTATCTTGCTTCAAGTTTATCTAGAGATGAATTTTCCAAAATTGTCAGTATTTCTGGACATTTCATAAAAATGTCTTTTAACTTTCATCTTTTGACTTGCCCAAAGTATCTGGAAGACTTCTTAAAATTGTATATTTCCAGACATCAAAGATTGTGAAATTGAGTAAAGGAATTTTGTATTATTTCTAGAAGGAAATATTGGGATAATAACAAACTAGTATGTTTTAAACTCTGAACATAATTAGATATAACCTCACCTTAATTATTTTAGTTTCAACCTGGTATTTTACACTTGATGTAAATTTCATAGTAAATCAGTATGACTTTATGTAAGTAAATTGACAATAAAAGATATGCAAGATTACTTAAAATGCTAGTCATTTATTTTATTCTTATTGCACTATTTGATAAAACATGGTATCTACTAGTCTAAAAGTCTGTGAATATAAAGTTGAACAGTAATAACAAACTTATAAAAAGTTAAAATAAAAGTTTAAAAGAGGAGTGGGAAATGAATTATATATTTGATACAATTCAATGATAATACTTGGACAATTATATTATCATTAATTATGTTATTGGTAACTAGCATGGTTTGCATGTGTCTCTTCCATGCCTCCACAAAATTTCATTGTTTTCTGTCATGTGTATAATCAACTCTAAATTTTAATGCTTTTCTTTATAAAATATTCTGATATAATTTGTGTCTTTTTTGTATATAATTTGTATTTGTAATTGTAGTAAGAAACCCAGGCATGTTTATAAAGTGTGTTTTTAATTCTAGCAAAAACCTAATAAGTATAGGTTAAAAATAGCTTGGAAAGAAGGCAATTATGAATACTCTTAAATCTGGAATCTGGCCCAGGAGAAAGACTTCAATTGATAGAAGACATCAATTTATTTCCATCTGGAGATAGTTCAAGGATACTTGAGAAATAGAAATTGCTGCTTATAATGTCTTCCAACTGCTTGCTCTGCCTTCTTACAGTTTAAATTAAGTCATTATGTGTTCAAGGTTATAAAGGTACCGACTAGTATTCAGAAAGGGACAAATAAAAAATCATATTGCTTGATGGAATGTATGACATACGGGTTTTAAATATGGTGACTAAGGAAACTAAGATGCATTTCAAAAGAAAGAAATTGAAAAAGAAGGAATAAAATGAAGGAAAGGTGAAGCGTAGGTAGAAATTTCTGTTATAATATTAGCCATTTCATATAGAAAAAAATAGAAATGAAAGGGAAGAATTTATACCAAGAAATGTTTAACATTAACAAGTCTTGCTGATTATTTGTCATAAAGTATTTTTTAATAAAAAGATAATATATATACTGAAAGTGCATGAAATATACCCTATATTACAACCGGTAATTTGAAACAAGCATGTTTTACATAAACTAAGCTAAGAAAAAAAATACTGCCAATTCATTAGAAGCAACCTAGGTGTTCCTTCCTTAACATTCTTCTGTTTTCCTCCCCTGGAGATAACCTCTATCCTGACATTAGGGTCCATAGAACAGTGAGTTAAGAACTGATTAGACACAAGCAAAGGTGGAATTAGAGAATTAGAGGGTATGTCTGTTGGAGTATATTAGCTATCAGGATGGTTAAGAAACATGGAAACTATAATCCAAAGGTCCAGGACATATCCACTAGGAATTCCAGAAAGAGAAGTTAGAAATAATGAGCTGGAGTCAATGTTTAGAGAAGTAACAATGAGAACTTTTCCAGAAATGAAAAAAAATCATGAGATTTCAGATTAAGAAAGGTGCTGATTCCCAACAAGGGCTTAAAAAAGGAATCTGTATCTGGTACATTATGATCAGAAAATTGAAAGAGATGGAGGAGGAGCAAGATGGCAGAGGAGTCGGAGACCTAAATTTCATCTCGTCCCAGGAATTTAGCTAGATAGTTATCAAACCATTATGAACACCTACAAACTCAACAGGAAATCAAAGAAAAGAATAGCAGCAACTCTCTGAACAGAAAAGTGACCACTTTTTGGAAGGTAGGACATGCGGAGAAGTGAATCCAAGGCGATATTCAGGAAGATAGACTGCGGGGGGAGGGAGCCTCTGTCAGCTGGCTACCAGCAAGTGATAGAGAATGGAGCACAAAATTGGAACATTTAGAAGTCTGCTCTGCTGAGGGACATCACTCCAGTGGCTAAGTGGGGGGTGGAACCCTCACTGGGACAGTATGGTCTCAGGACCATCAGGGTCACATAAAGACCAGGGGTGACTGAGTGCAGCACAGCTTCCAGGTATAGGAGCAGGGAAGCCAGCTCCAGAGACAAGGAGTGGGCTCTCAGATCTGTGGCACAGTCAGGCCACTGCTCTCTTCAGGCAGGGACTCAACAAGCGGCAGATCCGGTGAGACTCCCCTTCCTCCCCTAGGAGGAGCAGCACGGGAGTGCACCACAGGGATCTGCAGGGTTTGGAGACTCCAAATAGGGTCAAGTGCCAGAGACAGAAATGCTCATTCACAGGCCAGGTGAACACAGAGTGCAGCCAGAAACTGGGGAGACAGGAGTGATTGACTGCTTTTCTCTGGGGGCTCACTGAGAAGTAGGGCCCCAAGTTCTTGGCTCCTCTGGGGTGGAGATTGGGAGGCCACTATTTTCACTCTCATCCTCCAAAGCTGTACGGAAAGTTTGCAGGAAACAAAAGCTACCCAGAGCAAACACGAGCAGATTACTTAACCTGGCCCTCAGCAAGGGCAGGGCAATTCCGCCTCAGGCAAAGACATTTGAGAACCACTGCAACAGGCCCCTCCCCTAGAAGATCAGCAAGAACAACCAATCAAGACCAAGTTTACCAATCAATGAGAACAGCAGAACTCCATCACTAGGGGAATACAGCACATAGAGTTCATGGATTTTTCCCCCTGATTTTTTAGTTTTTCAAAGTTAAATTTTTTAATTTTCTTTTTTTCTTTTTCTATTTTTTTATTTTTCTTTTTCCCTTCTCCACCAACATCTTATCAATCCGTTTTTTAAAAATATTTTTTATATTTCAATTTTAGAGTCATATTCTATCCCTTCATAGTAGTTAACCTTATTTTTGGTATATATATCTATATATATATATAAGTTCTCTCTTTAAAATTTTGGGATACAGTTTCTTATAACAGATCAAAGTATACCCTAAATCTTTAGTATATGGCTTTGTTCAGTCTCCTGCCTGATCATATTCACCCTCCCCCGCTTTATTTTAAATTTCTCTTCTTTTTTCAACCAACTTCTTATCTTATTAATTTCTTTTATAAAATCTTTTATAATTTTCATCCTTATGGTCATATTTCATCCCTTCATCATATTTACCCTTATTTTTGTACATATACAAGTTTTTCTTTCTTTAAAATTTTGGGAGGCACTTCCTTCTAAAAGAACAAAATACACCCAAAATCTAGTGTGTGGCATTGATCTATGCACGAGCCTGATCATATTTGATCATATTCTTTTTTTTTATCTTTTTCTTTTTTTCCCTTTCTTTCCCTTTCTTTTCACCAGGTTTCAGATCTCTTCTGATTTGTTTAGTTTCTGGGGTTGTTGTCCCCTGTTAGTATTTTGTTCTCTCATTCATCTATTCTCCTCTGGACAAAAGGACAAGATGGAAAAGTCACTTCAAAAAGAAGAACAAGAGGCAGTACCGATTGCCAGGGACCTAAAAAATATGGATATTAGTAAGATGTTAGAACTAGAATTCAGAATGATGATTATAAAGATACTAACTGGGCTTGAAAAAAGCATGGAAGATACTAGAGAAACCCTTTCTGGAGAAATAAAAGAACTAAAATCTAACCGAGTCAAAATCAAAAAGGCTATTAATGAGGTGCAATAAAAAATGGAGGCTATACTGCAAGGATAAATGAGGCAAAAGAGAGAATTAGTGATATAGAAGACCAAATGGTGGAGAATAAAGAAGCTGAGAAAAAGAGAGATAAAAAACTACTGGCTCATGAGGGCAGAATTCGAGAGATAAGTGATACCATAAGATGAAATGATATTAGAACAATTGGGATCCCAGAAGAAGAAGAAAGAGAGAGATGGGCAGAAGTTATATTGGAGAAAATTATAGAGGAGAACTTCCCTAATTTGGGGAAAGAAATAGGCATCAAAATCCAGAAGGTAGAGAGAACCCCTCTCAAAATCAATAAAAATAGGTCAACAGCCCGACATCTAATAGTAAAACTTATGAGTCTCAGAGACAAAGAGAAAATCCTGAAAGCAGCTCGGGACAAGAGGTCTGTAACCTACAATGGTAGAAACATTAGATTGGCAACAGACCTATCCACAGAGACCTGGCAGG